TACAAATTAAGAAATAAATTATATATATATAATAAAATTTTTTATTTATGTTAGTTATTACTTGGAAAAGAAGCCAAGTGGCTAAAAGATAAAGGAATATGCGTTGAACGTATAACTGATCTTGTACAAATTTTTGGAGGTACTAAAGCTCTAGATGGTGTTGATAAAAATCAAAATCTTTATATATGGTTTATGGAAATAAGTAAACATATTGATTCGTTAAAACAAGAAGATGGGAGGAAGATAGTACAATTATTGCAAGCATTGGAACAAGTTCAGGGTAAAAAAACTTAAATTGACAGATATCTGTTCCATATAAAATAAATCCATACAAATGTATATAATATGCATTTATGTTTTCAGAATTTCATCAATTAGAAAATAATCTACATATTTCGCAATATTTGGGCGACACACGCGAGACTTTACGCAATATGTTGCGCATGGGCAGTATATCTGAAGATATTATGATAAGTTTGAATATTGTAACAGATTGTTGCTATGCATGGAATATTATGGAATCCTTTATCGATGTAATGCAAGAGAGTATAAAGGAAAATCCACCAACTGTCATCAAACTAAAAGCTCTCTTCCTAAAAGTAAGTATATACAAAATTAAAAATTATACGAAATATACTTATTATACACATACAAATTTATACATTATATTATTTTTAGATGGCATCAGCATTAGAAACTCCGTTGCTCAGAGTAAACCAAGCACGAAGCGCAGATTTGTCTTCAGTGTCCCAATATTATAGCCGAGAACTCGAAGGATATGCTAGACGTGTTTTGCAAATTATACCTGAAACTGTGTTTGGCTTGTTAGCAGAGATAGTACATCTTGAAACGAATACGTTTAAAGAAATTCCGACTAAACTACCCAAAGATAAACTCAAAGATTATGCACAATTGGCTGAAAGAATACAGGTATATTTGATTAATGAGAAATTCTTTTTTAAATTTAGAAACAAATATATATGCTAATATTTTCGTAGATGGCGAAATTAACATATGCCGTGTCAGTTTTTACAAACGGCGTTTTATCATTGAGAAGTGTTTCTTTGGGAGTTTTGAGGGTTGATTCGCATCGTCTCTTAGAAGATGGTATACGTCAAGAACTTGTTAAGAAGGTCACTTTAGCTTTACATAATGGTCTCAACTTTGATCAAAAATCCAAGGTAAAATTTTATAAATAAAAAATTTATAACATATTATGTCCCTGCTAAATATTTTTTTTTAGACATCTCTTCAACAAAAATTATGTAATTTGTCCTCGATTATGGACGGGTACAGAAAATCTTTTCAATATATTCAAGATTATATTAACATAAATAGCTTGAGAATATGGCATGAAGAAGTAAGAGAATTATATGATTATATAATTTTAATATATAATAACTTGTACACATACAAAAAAAGTTTTTTAATTTTAAATATATATATATATATATAAAATAAACATCTTAGATCACATATATCATAAATAATGCGGTTGAAGAAGAACGTAGAGGTTTCTCCTCGATACTAGGAAAATCATGGAGACAATTTCAAGAAGATAAACACATATTTTTAACGGATAATAATTCCTTGACATTCATGGGTAGACTCGCTAGAGAGATTATCCGTATTACCGAGCCCCGGTATAATGTTATATTTATTTAAATTTCACTTTTATATTAAATAATCGTTGCGCCTTTCTAATCCATTAAAAATTTTTTAGAACCACTGTGTATATAGAACATTCTCTAGCATGGTATGATATTAAAACACAAATTGAAGTCTTAAATTACAAAGTCTTCTCTGTGATATTAGAAACGATAGGTACACCAGGATTATCGGGACTGGATAAACTTATTTCTTTCTTTATTGTCGTGGAACTAGAAGGTTTGGTTCATTATATAGAAAAGAATATACGGAACAAAATGTGGATGTCTTTGTTGGAGGATTGTGAAGTTACTCTAAGTTCTTTAGACAGTGCTAAAGGTAAAAATTCGAGATGTATGAGAAAAATAATGAAAACTAACGCATGTTATAAATTTTAATTAATATTGAATTTAATTATATATACTTTAGGTAACATCACAAAACTTCATAATACTGTAAGCAATAGTAAATTATCGTTACCGGCTCTTGAATGGATATTGAAAATAGGTCATTATCAATTGCTCAGGAAAAAAATAGCGTACGAGTTAAACACCGCTTGCAAATTTGAAGCAAAACACATGGAAGCGGCACTGCAAACATTAAATACGTATGTAAAAAAAGATTAATTCAAAATTTTCCTTCTCTTACATTTGTTCGTTACAGAGCTATCTTATGTGAGATAGTGAGAAAAGATAACAATAATGAAACTGAACTGAAAGAGAAAAGCGAATTGCTTCATGAACTTAGTGTGAGATTGGATTGGGCTGGCATCAGTGATCCACATAATAAAGTTTATATCAAACCACCAAAGATAGATAATATAGCTCTTATTGTCTTTCTATTCACAGCATCGCAATTGAATAAATTATATTACTGCAAAAATACTGGTAATTATAATTTTTTGATATATATTAATACAAAAATATATTGTACATATATTATTAGAAATCCTGTAATTACATGTTGTAATTAAAAATTATATACATATTTTATATATTTATTATATATAGCAAGTCTTTTAAGTAAGAAATATCAAGATCCCGTTGACGCTGTGGTATTTGCAATAGGAATACAAACGATCCTTTGTCAATTTCACGTTTCCGTGATAAATCGTTATATAAAATATCTTTGTATGTATATTCTGTCATTTGTCACCATGGAAAGGTGAGAATAAGTTTGTCAACAAGTTAGTGACATGGATGTGATAATACGATATCATTATTAATGAAAACGTTTTATTTGTAGTATGAAAGCAGGAAGTGATATAGAAACTGAAGGAGTTACCAATATCCACTTTTTGGAGCTTTTTGTGAAATATTCTGGCATTCCACGTTCTCTGATTCTTAAAGAGATACCTGTCGTCGTATTAGATCATTCTCTAATTAAAATGACAAAATGATGCAACTGATTTGAAAAATGTAAGATAATATCATGTATTATATAAAAATTTACCTCTCTCTCTCTTGTATTATTATATTCTTATATTACATAAACTTACATGTTTTATGTAAATAAAAAAATAAAAAAATAAAAAATGTATGGGATGATTCTTTTTTATTATTTTATTATTTATATTTTTTGATATTCCTATATTAATTTGTAAATTGAAAGCCGTAATTTGAACACTCAGGAAATTGCGCAGGTTTAATTTAATCGTAACCCATACAGCACACAAAGATTGCATACATATTGTAGCAATCTTTCACCGCAATATTGCAACTTTGCAAATTCACTGCAAAATGTTGCTGCATCATTGCTGTGGAATTGCAGCAATGATAAAATGTCCGCTTTCAGGAATATTGCAACAAAATATTATAGCAACATTGCAATGTAATGAATTTGCAATAATGTATATATATTTATTTTTGGTGTAATTATTGGCGATACATTGTAATTAAATGTCATTGCAATTTGCAACATTGCAATATTGCTGCAATATAATTGCAATGATCCGTGCTGTATGGGAATGTCTACTCTGTTTTAATTTATCTTCGATCAGATCTAATGCACGCATTTGAAGAAATGTGCAGAGCTTACAATGTAAATTAGATAAAAGCGTAGGCGTGGCATGTATCATTATTACGAAATGCGTCCCTTAGGAGAAATATCGCCCACCGATATACTGCGGAGAAATTTCGCATACGCATCGGCGGCTAGACGACGATATACGGCGGCAACAGCGGCGATGGCGGTTTCGGCGTCTCTTTATATCTCCCATCGAAGAATACATACGCTTCTAAATGTCCTTTTGCATTCTAAAAGCTATCTGCGCGTCCGCAATTACAGCTATCTCATCAACAGAAATTTCAATGCGACGATAAAATATCGATCGATCAGAAACGAGGTTTAGAAGAAATTAACGGAAAATACGATCAGCGGCAACGGCGGTGACGACGGCGTCGCCGGCGGTCGCGGCGCCGATGTCGGCGGCTTCGTACAAAACGACGTGGAATTATTTTCCGAGCCCAGTTCTCAGCTCACGTGCATACGCGGATCAAGTCGACATATTCTTCCTCGTCAAAGGATCTCCGAAATCTCTGGTCTCGATCTCTAGTCAGCGTGTATCGCGAAAATTCATTTCGATCATTATACTTGAAAAAAATATACAGATGAGATTAGAAACATTGGTTTTCATTTTTGTTATGTGGGTTACACATATGCCGTATTCGATGATATTTTTTTGCATTTTAAATCTGGTAAAATAATTAAATTTCTTTTGAAGAGCAAGCGTCTCAAACCGATTCAAATAATTATTTTGATATATTTATTATCAATAATTTAATTTCTAGTGTTTCTTTTTTTAATGTAATTGAAAGCGAAAATAGAAGTTATCGCGCTTCGCTACTGGTACTATTAGTATAATTTAAAGATTCCTTTAGAATTTACAAATGTATATAATTATTAATGAGAGAATATTAATAAAATGAATTTCTGTCTCATATTGTACGTAAGTATAAATTATAATTAAGACAATTATCGGCACAATTGTCTGTGCAGATCGATATAAATGCTTCAATGTCTCGTGAAATCTCGTAAGAAGTTTATATTGTCTATAAATGTGAGCCATGTATCGCTCAATCAATTATAAACATCAATGACGATACATGCAAGCTTCCGATCAGAGAAAGATAGTCCTTAAGCAATATGCGTAACTAATATATTTCGCGCGATGAACATTTTTATTATTGCATCTAATGAATCTTTTTGCGTCAGGAAATCATGCGAGTGATATTAGCGATAGCGTTGCTTTTCGTGGCGGGATCCTTCATCGTAACGGCATCGAAGGGACGCGATTATCCCCGTTTCTTCAAACACCGAACGAAGTTGAGAGAGATTCGTGGCTTCAAGCCGGAGTACATTTCCACAGCGATTGGGTTTGGAAAAAGGGAAGATCCGGTGGAAAGGACTTCGGATTTTCGTGGGCGTGAAAGAATTCTGTTGTCGTTTCTGAGAAATTTTCCGCGTAGGTGAGTATGCTCCAGGCTCTGTAAATGATAAGTAAAGTATATAAGTAGTAGATAAAACCGGCAATGTGAGATCTCGATAAAAGTTTTTTTTTACATTTGCTAGAAATATCCCTAATGAAAATAATTTTACAACCTTTCACGCGAAAATTATATAAAAATTACAATTTTTTATGATGTAATTACACTTTTTTGGAAAGAACATTTGAAAAATTTTATGTCACTGACTTTTGAGTAAATGACTATCATTAATTATAATGCTCGTCATATAAGCCTGTTTTTAACGTAAAATATCTTGATTACAGCGTGTCCGCGGAAGTGTTACTTCGAATGATGCAAACAAATCCTGCATTGGCCGATAAATTGATGATACAAAACAACCGAGACAACCGAGACAACCGAGACGACCGCCGAAATGAAGAGTCGATAATGGACCATTCGAAGCCCGATAGAATATTCGCGCTAATTTAATCCTTCATCGTCAAATGCATTCGGCGGAGTTTTAGAGAGAAACATTCATCCTCCCGGATTAGATAAAACGTTTTATTTGATACGTTATTTCAAAACGTTCTGATTTATTTCTAATTCTTCGCATATGCAGGTAGTACTATGTAGAATGCTCTATTTTTTTCCGTATATAATCTCTTTTCACGACAAAAGTTTTCACGATGTCAAGAAACAGCAAACAGAAGACGCGTTTTTTCATCCGCGGCAACATACAATCGAATTAACTTTGTCGTAAAACAATATTGCACTATATGTATTGTAATTGATTATTTTTCTTTATTATAAGAATATGTATAAAATTAAAGAGAACTATATACAGAGATGAAAATATATGGGGAATAAATGCGTACTCTTCCTAATTTTTGGCGCTCTGCTCTTTTTCAAACTCTATATTTAAAGATTATTGTTCTTTTAAATGCATTATGAATTATTATCTCTCTGTAGTTTATCCATCAAACACATACTAACATTAATTTGTAGAAAATTTAATAATATTTGAAATTTTTATTTGTATATTCTCTAAATGATGCGTAAAGAATCGTAAGAATCGATAGCGGACTGCGCATGTGCCACGAAATTAAAAATCTCGGAGAAGAGATATTCTGATCGCTGTCTACTACTTCTTTTTAATTTTTATTTTTTGCAGAAAGAAAATATAAATTGTGTGGGATATCCTTTGGGCAAATGTAAAAAAAGGGAACACTAAAATACGTCATATTGAATATAACAAGGATTTATGCGCATTTTATTCAAAAGGGTAATTCAACGTTAACAGTCAGTTAGAGATTTGTACCTTCAATTTTTGGATAATCTCTTTTGCCCAGTTGTTTTTTTTTCAAACAATATGAAATATTATATTTCCCATTAAAGTTTTTTAGAATGCTTTTATTTTTTTTATATGTTTATCTAACGAAAATATTTTGAACATATTATATTAATAATAGATTTTTTTCGCCTGTAATTTCTATACGTCTCTCTCTTTTTCTGAAGAAGCAATATTTCTATTCCTTTTTAGGGATAATAGTACGATTCCGTACGGTTATAGAAATAACTTTACAAAATACACCACATCTTTTATAGTTTCAAATTTTCGATTTCCAATTGTATTAAAAGTATATTAAATTATACATTGCATTATACAACTTACATTTGCTAGCAGTAAATAACAAAGTCTTTGAATCCGATGTAGCTTTCCTATCACTTTGTGATCATATTTTTACTTGAAATATAAGATCCGTTTTGTACTTTAGCAATAGCAATCTCTTCCTTTCTCTTTTTCTCTCAAATTTTAATGAGAAATTCCATTGACATTACATCAAGATGTACACATGTCAAAGAAAAGAAATGCTTCAAACGTGCCTGACATGAAAACTGACGATATATTCTGCATTAGTACGTTGGACCGAAATTGCGAACGGATCTGTCGGATGGAACGTGAATGCGACCAATCGTCTTGCGGTCGTTGGTGTTGTTCGTCCCAACATACCGGCATACATTCTAAATTTTAAGAGGCCCGAGTCGCGTGCATAGAAACGTATCGGATGTTCCCCGCATGCTTTAGGGCGTTCCATCATAGATACCCATTTATCGTCGTAGCAAAACAATGATAAGTCGAGGTATGGAGAACTGGAATAGGACTGAGCGCATATCGGTAATTGAGCGAGTAATCTTTTCGTGGCTTCGGTAATGCCACCGTATCTAGCGCTTATTATCGTTTGTTTGAATCTTTGCTGTAACAATCTGAAAAACAAAAACGTAGATGGATATTGTTTAAGCAATGCATGTATGTGTGTGGTATATTGATATACAGGATATTCAGAACGTTGTACCTGGCATATATATTATTAGATGGTGAACACATATATTGACAATCCGTGCTCATTCTGGCATTTCTAAAAAAATCGCTGAAGTTTTCAAATAGTGTTAATAGTTGAGTTGATGCATTGTCATACGCCGCCAAAATCTTTGCCGTAACCATATCGTAAACTACCAACAGTGCAGGCTGTGCATTTGGTTCGTTTGCTTGCAAGGTCGCTACCTCTTCGCTCGCGTATCTCACCAAGATGTGATTTGTATCCAACAACTGCATTTTCCACATACGTAGTGAATTTAGCTGAAATATTTTATTCAATTAATTGCTTGATAATTATATACCCATTAACAATAAAATATTTTTATATAACATATATATAAAAACACTTGAATAATACCTGGTCAAAATATTGATAAAATCTTCTCAATTCATATGGATCCTTTGTTGCATTGCTTATATATTTCGCTCGTTTGTACAAATATACTAATAACCTATGCTTAAGACTATTTATTGCAATGTCTTTAAATGGTCTGCAATTGATTCCAGGAAAAGCGCTCGTAACTAAATATGCATCATCTTCCATACAAAACCTGATACAAATCATTTATATTTTCTGAACAACACCATTTATATTTATATTCATATTATCCACATTACTGATTACTTATAATATATATTGGCTAATATTTATATCTAATACCTTCCTATTGTCCTGACATTTATAAACATGCCATCCAAAATTTGAAAGATATGTATAGTTTGATGCTGTACCGATAAGACTGCTAATATATCTTTGTATAAATAAAGACCTATGTATAAAAAAAAGTAAGATTTATTCTAAGAATTTCATATAATTTTAACCACTTAATTGACATTTGTTAAAACATTCTTAATTTGCTTAAAAGAACAGTTAATATTAAAAATGTTATCATGACAAAACAAAAACTTAGTTTTCTTTGCATTCTTTTAGTAAAAGAAACATCCAATGATTGGTCTAACTTGCTCAGATAATAGCAGCATGACAATTGCAATAATCTATCGAAATATTATTGATACAATACCTTGATTATGCGATAAATAAATTTTGTCAACTTTAAAATGTCTAGTGTCACATAACTTTCCACCACGTAAATCGACAAGATGCAAGCTATAATCTTCAAGCGGAGATCGAGGATTCGGAGTCAATGCCTCATTATTGGAATAAATCTTGAAGGAATAAATTATATATCAAGTTTTTTTATTGTAATACTTGTTATTGAAAAGTAGTTACAACTGCTATTTGTTTATGATTACCTGATAAAAGTGTGGTCTCAATTCTTCAGGAATATGAGCAGCTGAACCCACAATTACATACCGCGCGTCGTCTGTGAAAAGACTGCATTCTCTGTTCAATTGCTCGTTGCTTTGTACTACATTTATAATCCATTTTACCTACAAAATGCTTATGCTGGTACACCAATTTCAGCGGTTCTTTCTTTTTTTTTTTTTTCTTAATCTTTATAATCTGCAAATATAGGCGTATACACCAAGGTCGATTAGCTTGCGAGTACCTTGAAAAATCGCGCGAAGATATTACTTCTTATGTGAAAGCTACAGTCGTCGTTCTTGTTGCCGATATATTCGCCTTCGCAATCGGCCAACAAGTCCGCGGCCGCCGAAGCCCCGCAATATTGGTATACCTCGATAGACGTTTGATCCGCGCTAAATGCCACTAAGTACTTTCCATCCGGGCTGAACTTACGGAGGAAACACGGCGGTTTCTCCACGTTCATCACGGTAAAGTTGGGAAAAACATTTTGATAAAATTGCCTCGCGCTATGTACGTGCGTGCCTGGGAAAGGGCAGCCCATCGTTTCCCTCTGTCTTAGGCGAACCACCACATTTTGCGGGCCAATCTTACGAGGTTTGATGGGACAAGGATCTGTCACGAAGCTAACCCTGTTTTCCTTCATCTTCGCCATCCCGCTATAAATTTATTGCGTGATAACGCACGAAAACGGCACCCATTGTCGTCATGTAAAATTTTGTTATTGCCGCACTATTTTTATCCCATGCATATCACCTTGGTTAATACGGGGGCGAACGTTATCTCATCGCGATGTCCTTTGCCAGTCTTCTCGCCATGTATAAAAATCTTCTTTTATTTTGTTTTTTTCCCCTTTTGATGGCAAAATGCTCCAAATTCTATTAAGTTATACAGTATATTTATAGATTTTATTATATTCTATTTCTTTTAAAGTTTGAACGCGCATAGGTTATAACAACGGTTAGAACAGGTTAGGTCAACGTGCATTCTTGAGTATCTAATTAGTAGGTTCGAAGCTCCACTAACGCGGGTTCGAATCTTGACTAACAATAAGCGGGTTTGAGTCTCCGCTAACAAGCAGAATTTAAATTTTCGCTGAAAATGAATTCCGTGCGAATCTTCACACTCTAAATAAAATTTAAATCTCCGCTTAGCACAAATTCAAATTTTAATTCCATAGTATTAACGATAGAATTCTCTGTATTATACCTGCAAATTATAAATAAAATGATAAATAACGAGATAATAAAATTACAAAAGTATGAAATATGTATATTTCATATCTATGTATAATTTTTATAAATCTAGAGATTTATATTTTTTATAATCTCTATATTTATTTAAATAGTGTATATATGTGAATAGCGTGTATATTTATATCGATCAAACATACATATTTGTCGTCAGGGATACCGTGAATTTTACATTATTTGTCATAGTAAATAGCGATATCGCAACGTTATTTGATATCTATCGCGAGTTTTCGAGAGTATGGCAGATCATATGGAATATATAGTATCGCCATGGGAAATCGAAGCTTACGTGCAAAGCTTGAACGTTTCAATTCTGGACGATGTCGGTACAAAAAGGTATATATTTTATATGTCTTTTATAATTATTTAGTACTACATATTTAGAAATCGATATAAATATGCAAGAGCATATTTCAGCTGGTTGGATTTCCATAAGAGACTGACATTATTAAACCAGCAAAGTGTACTCGAGATAACAGGATTGCGCGAAGAGAGCGTTATGGAATGGTTTATTTCGTTAAACAAAGTAAACTATTACAAGGAATTGTTCTCATGTAGACTACAAAGTAGAATGATATTATATATGCAACAAAAACAGCATAAATATATAAATTAGACTTTAGCAATTTTTGTTTTAAAATGTCAATTAATATAAGCCATAAATCGCTCCATTTTAGGTTCCTATTCTTATATATGAAGCTATACAAATCGATATATGGAAACATAAAGCGTTCCCACTTTTAATTGATCTCAATGGCGAGCCGCCAAACACGTTTATGATGTTCAGCGTACTTTATCATGAAGTCATCGTAATTTCGTTGTTGGAGAATATTTTATTTCATTGCGAAAGCGCGCAAACGATAGATAATATGGTGATCGATCTTATCGATTATGCTGTCGAGCACATAACAATACTTTTCGATGAGAAAACCTTCGAGATTTACGAAAGATTCGAAATCAAAGATCCCAAGTAAAATATCGATATATATATATATATATTACATTAAGATATATATTTTAATTGGATGCAGCAGATGTAAAACAAACGAAAAAATAGAATAGGATGTGCCCCTGTTCTATTAATTAAAATAATTTTTATTAAATGTAAATGTGGCACACTCTCTTATTAATCGCACATATTTTTTTATCGATAGCTCTTGTCTTGAAGAGATATTGGAGAAACTGAAAGTATTTGAATTTGACATTGGGATGCGATGCATCTCCATCCTTCATTATCTAATAGAATTTTTGGACAGCTTACCCCTTTGCGCTGTTTCGCGTATGCTAGCCACACACGATATTCCTTACTTATTTGCGCAATTAATAGAAACTCAACCGTGGAAGAAGCAAGATGAGGATGGTAGTAATCTCTCTTTTCTGTTTCTGTGAGATTGCAATGTGTTAAAAGGGATGATAAAAATATTTCAAAAGCTATTGAAATATCATTAATCTTTGTACAGGTGAAACGTTAATGTATGATGGTAGCTGGAAAAAAGTTAAGGCAAATGAAGTAGGAAAAATTAATAAGAGAGAAGGCCAAGTATGGTTTGGTCTGAGAGAATTACTTCTCAATCCCAAATGTTCTCCGTATTACGAAATTACAGAGCACAGGTTGTCCCAGCTATCTAAGGTATTAATTATTATCGACTTATTACCAATATAATACGCAATTTTAAATATTTATACTCCAGTTGCAGAAATATTTACATGAAGATATATTAGATCAAATTGCTCCTCTGATAGAACTTAAGAGATGGTTATCTTACTTAAATATAACGGCAATGCCATCTTCTAACGCAAGTTGCGCAGTTCACGTAGAAGTAATACCACAGGTATAACGTTATTCTTCTGCCTTTATCTCTTATTATCTTTTTGTTTCGATTATCAATTAGTGAAATAATATATCACACAAAACAAAAAATTATAAATATATAGATAAAATCATCCATTTTGGAAAAATACCATAAAAAATGGAAGAAATTGGCTAAACATCAGTCTAAATATCTATTTACAACGGATAAAAATTACATTAAAGATGCTGCGCAAATCTTAAGTGATGGCTATGATTTGGAAAAATTGGATCGCATAGAGCCGAAAAAATGTTCATTATGCCAAGAAGTGTCTAAACAACAATGCTCTAAATGTAAGAAAGTCTGGTATTGTAGCAGGTATGTAGAGGAAATACTTTAAGGATATAGTTTCCTAAAAATGCATTCAGAAATGACATAATACTAACAATTTTTACAGACAATGTCAAGTGAAAGATTGGGAAGAACATAAGAAAATTTGTAACAAAAGTTAAACACGATAATAGATCCTTGATTAAGAATTCACCTATATAACATATGTACTTTATATATATTTCTGCTTTCCTTTCAATCTTAGTATCTCTTATTGTATAGTTCTAAACACAAAAAATGTATTCTTTTTTTTTTATGACCAACTTTTTGCGCATTTCAAAACTTGTCAAAAATTGTAGCTTTTGTAACTACAATTGCATATATCTCTCAAAGAAATTGTTAAGATTACGAGATATTAAAATATCGTATTTGTATTAATTTGTGTCAAATATTTTATTAAAAACTTTTTAATGTACAGTGCTTTGTTTGAGGTATTCCATTAGAACATCCTTGGCAGGTGTATCTTCCCCAAAATCCTGCGAGCAACGTTTATATATTCGATAATGGAATAGCAATATAATATAATAGAAAATAGTATAATAAAGATATATCAGTATGGCCTAAGCACAGCATGGTCTGTTTATTATACGGGTTCTGCTCAGTAGAGGGAGCCAAACATATCATCATATATATTTTTTATGATCTCTTTTTTTTAACATGGCCTTAAGTGTCATGATTATAACACGTATTAAAAAAAAAAAAAAAAAAAAAAAAAAAAAAAAAAAAAAAAAAAAAAAAAAAAACACAAAAAATTTATAAATGCATGTTGTATCCAAGAAGATTTGAAGTATTTTTTTAATACGTTAGGTACAACAGTCTTCCCGCTAGCACATTGCCATGGGTTTTATACAATCAAACACTACGATTTACATTGATCGTGCTCTATAACTTACATATTCTAAAGACACTGTCGATCGACGATCAAGACTAGGGCGCCCGGTATGCCTCCACCTTTGCAAATATGGCAATCGCAATGGAAGGAGACTTCCATCTTGCGCTTTAGTGTCTATTCGGAGATGGATTAACTGTGTGTAACCGCGGTTATATGCCTGCCTACCACCCTTTCCCTGCGTTCCTCTCCCTCACGCGCGAGCACAGAGAATGAGAGAGCACAAGCGGTCTGTACAAAAGTATAATATATACTATCGTCCGTCCTTATCTCGTACATCCGAGACGAAGAGAGCCTTCCGCCGCAACTCGCCCCCACTTAGTTCCGGCTCCCTACTTCACCAACGACTCGACGAGCTTCTTCGGTGGTGGAGAGAGTGGGAGTGAAGCGGCGGTGGCGATGGTGGTACAGTACCGAGACGGCGATGGTAGACTGGTGGTGGTGGCAATGGTGGTAGTGGTGGTTCATTAAAAAAAAAAAAAAATTAACCTAATAACTTACCTTTATGACGACACATGAGCAGCCAACTACTTTACGTGCTTTGCCTGCGCTGTCAATTTTACATAAGCCAGCCCATTCTCCTAACTTTTTGTTATTGTCTACTTTTATTAGTGGAATTTGATGCTCATTGCATAATGCTTGAACTAATTTTTTGTACATAGGTTCGTCACAATTATCTGCCAAGATGCAAAGCATGGCTTGTCTTCTGCAATATAAAAGATAATTTAATAAATACTATGGTATTTAACATTACTTATTGTGTAATGTTATATGTGTATATTTATGCATTATCAAAAAGACATATTATAAGTACATTAATAAATTAAATTTGTCTTAAAGAAAAAAGTTTATTAAAAGTAATTTTTATATTTATATTGTATATATTTTTATATTTATATTTTATATATTCTATTTCTTACTTGTCTAATGCCTTGGCAGCTTCATGAAGGCCATGTACAACACCATCATGAATGAGGGAGTTTTTTAAGACTTCTTGTAATGCAGTATTAACATCCATACTGCCACCCGCTGCCATCGCAGATGGCACATCATCGCTGTAACAAATAATAGTTTCATTAAACATAGTAAGTAGGAATATTATTTATCAGTTAATATATTTGTATATCATTGAAATATTATTTCCATATATTGGTTGTCAAAACTATGTACACTCTCTTATAATTATTGTAAATATTTTAAAAATATATAATGTTTTTATAAGAATATTTTAAATAGCAAAAATTATTTTAATCAATTATCTTTTTTCTTTGTAAAGAATTTTTGACATTAAATATATCAGTGATAAAATCTTGTTTAAATAAAAATTACATTAGTTTACTTCAAATGACCAAAGAATCATTTTTACCAACTTTCTTTAGATTACTGAAGTTTAATAGACAAATATTTTTTTATATTGAATAATTTATAACTAATAAAAGCTAAAAATTTCTTGGAAACTTGTGTTTCTATTTCAGTTTAACCTATACTCTCTATCGTCAAGTGTAAGTACAAAATATTATCTATATTTACTATTTGCTGAATTTTTCTTCTTACATTAAACGCTTTTCACAAGTTTGCACTTCCATATATCCATGAACTTATCAATTTGTTAAGTTAATTGCAACACAATAAAGAATAATTATAAAAGTAGTATTGAAAACATTCTAAAATACACTTACTTTTCTACGTCAGACATGTTTTAAGGAAGCTGAGAACCTAGAAATAATTATAAAATATTATTATTTTTGCCACAAGGATCACATTTTAATGTTTTTTGGGGTAAATTCTATAACGATCTCGTCACAATAAACGGATTTTAATCGCGATAGTATTCAGCGTGGCTTGATTTACCTTTGCCAAGGAACAGAAGAGGAGTTGTACGCGTTGAGCTCTGAGCATGCGTCGTTCGTGCGTTACTTCGATGATGACGAAGATTCTATCGATCGGCCGATAAGTTGGTACAGAAGGACATCTATGAACATATATTGAATATAATATGTTATCGACGATTGATAAAAAAATTTGACATGCATATATGATAAAACATACGCACACATAAAATAGATGTATCCAGATTGATCAATATATTTAACATTTTGCCAACATTGGTAATATATTAGTCATTAAAATGCTACTTAAGAATGATGTAAGTCACGAGAAATTGATTTATATGGAGAAAAACGCAGTTTTTACTCAGATTTAAGAATACAATTAAATATAATTAATAATGATTACAAGCATGTCAATAATAATGAAAGTGTTATTCATTTTTTAGATTGGTTTATATTACATAATAGTAAATATTAACTCTACATTATATATATATTTACTGGATAGAAAGTCATGTTTACAAAATATACATTTGCGAATACGCTTCTATCAAAGTAAGAGTATTGTAATTCCAATTAGCGATATATTTGGCAAGTCATGAAAGAGAGAGAGAGTAATAGAAGGATATGATATTTTATGCTCTTT